GAGGTGTTCAGATGTCCCACTTCATGTGGCTTCCTTTGCTTGCACTGGGAGCAGCGGGGTTGCAGGAAGTGATACGTGACTGGTTCACGAGAGAGGTTCTCTATTGAGGCTGCAGGTTGTAATCCTCAGTTTGGTACCTAAACAAGGAAGAGGAGGAGTGAGGGCTTCTCTGTGACATAAGCCCCTGTGTTTTACCTGTGTCTGAAGAGAACACAAGCAGGAGCAAGGCATCTTTGTTGGCTGCATGTTTGGGCAGTGTCTCTTGGAGCCATTGAGCATGGCCTGGCAGGTGACTTGCGTGTCTGAGTGCCACAGTCATGCTCTGGCACCTACCCTGACTCAGACCAGAGGCACCCACTCACTCCCTCTGTGGTGTCCTAAGGGTGCTGCTGTGCATGCAGGCTCACCCGAGCAAAGTATCACAAGTGGCTGGAAGAGAACGGCCATTCTAGCAAACGTGTGCATCAGTCATGTGTTCACTTACTTTAAACCATCCGCTGCTGGTTGGGGTTCATTTGCACACCTGTGGTCTCCCTGTCTGAGAGGCCTTTTTCTTCTCTCCTTGTTCAGCAGCCTAAAATCAAAAACAAATCCTGATGTTTTGAGCAAGTTCTGCAGCTCATTTCTTAACCACGATGCCTTCTTCCCCTTCTGTGCCTTCTGAGTGCTCACTTCTTCAGCTATAAGCCGTGGGTGGGCTGATCCTCCATCCCACTGCTCAGCAGGCTGGAGTAAAACTGATGTGCACAGAGCTGTGTTTCTCTCGTGCTTCACTGGTCGTGCTTCCCATGAGTGTGTGAACCCATGATTTGCAGTTCATAGATACCCAAACTGTGAATATCCTGCCTATTCTGACTTCATAATAAACTCTTAAGACTGACAGCCTTGAATATGAATTCTGTCACCTTCGCAACCTTGATGAGAGAGCATTAAATTCTCATACAACCTTAGAGAAGCAGCTGGACACCTCTGCCTTGGTTTTCCCATTTTGCCTAAAGACAGTGCTAGGTGTATGAGAATATTGAGTTCAATACATTGCTGTTTGTACTTTCAGAGTCCAGAGACAGGATGCAAATAAAGTGTTACGATGTTAGTCATGCCTCTATAAATAACCTTTGGTTCAGTTCTGTCTCTTTTATTACAACGTGTCATACACAACTGCTGCAGAGTGAGCAAGCCCTTCTGCAGTCCAGCTGAATACAAAGGTTTCTGGTAGTTAGGTTTTTTCTATACAGCTTTAGTATAATGCACTGCTTCAGGCACCTTTCATTCTTTCCTCTTAGCTTTCTACCAGCTGGCATTGGAGTAACGCACAGAGTATCTATGGAACTGTCAGTATTTTGCCTCTCTTTCTGTTGATGTTCCTGCTGTTATTTCAAGCTCTGATAATGCAGTGTGCTGGAGGGGATGCAGGTTAATAGGGTGATTACCTCAGTAAGAATGGTATTTTAGTTGTTGCAAAGTGAAGTGTTGTTTGGATATCTTCCCCCGAATCAAGGCAGTTTGCTCTTTCAGCTGCTAGGTGCGGATCTAAAAGCTATTGTGTTCCATCCTATCTCACTGTAGCTTAAGTGTATGCCCTGAAACAAAAAAAAGTCTATAGGATTTACTGCTTAAAAAGGAGTTATGTTCAGTACAATGAAGTGATACATAAAGGATGAGGTATCTCTGGCTGTATGTAAGAGTTTGGGCCAAGTAGATAATGGATTCAGCAGTGGGGATTGATTTGTAATTTGAAAAGAAAACCTTTTGGGGTAGTAGATGCTACACTAATCCTAATCTATTTCTTCTCCCTTTTTGCAAATGGAAGGTGAGGGGAAGGCCTGCAGAGGTGAGGGATCAGCTAAGGAAAAGGTAACCACAAAGAGGGCTACGTCTGAAGTGTGCTGTGCTGCATGCACTGTAGGTAACAGTTGTGTGCTGAAGATGAAGAACACTTGATTGATAGTAACAGAACAACCTCATCCTCTGTCATGGTTTGAAAATTACCCGCTCCTTAGCAATCCTGCCAATGTCACAAGAACTTCATTAAGCTGGACTCTCAAGGCAGCTGTCCTAAGCTTCCTGGAGCAGGAAAGTCAGGCACAGTCTGGATCCTGACCAGGGTAAATAAAAGTTGTGTGATTTGTGGGGAAAGATGCATGTTGTTTGTTGTTTTCTGGCATATCGCGGACTGCTTTTAAGTTTCTGTGAGGGAGGGAGGAGTAACAAGGTGCTGCCTTGACAACAAAGCAAGATGAACCAGTACACGGCAATTTTAACTTTTGGGCTGGATTACGAGTTGGAATTGTCTTGCCTAACATCATAATAGGAAAAGGGGTCCCTGCCCATCACAAAGCCTCAGTCCTATAAATGAGAAGCAGTGCTTGAACAAAGTCTTCAGACACATAGAGGAAACAAATGCTGGCTAGTGGAAGAGAAAGCCAGGAGTTCATGGATATCTGAAGAAGAGTCAGTGCAGAAGAAGAATTAGCAGAGCAAAAAATAAATGTCCTGCATCACCTCTGGTTTTGCAGCTCCTGCTGTTTTGAGAGCAAAGACTCTGTTACAATGGGTGAGTGCTGAAAATAGCCCTAATTTGGTAAATCAGGTCCAACCATATCCTGGGCTGCATCAAAAGGAGCATGACCAGCAGGTCAAAGGTGATCCAGCCCCTGCTCTCGTGAGACCTCACCTGGAGCATTTTGTGCAGTACTGGTGTCCTCAACATAAAAAGAACATGGATCTGTTGGAACAAGTCCAGAGAAGGCCACGAGGATGATCAGGGGCTGGAGCACCTCCTGTATGAAGACAGGCTGAGAAAGTTGGGGCTGTTCAGCCTGGAGAAGAGGAGGCTGCATGGAGACCTCATAGCAGCCTTCCAGTATCTGAAGGGGGCCTATAGGGATGCTGGGGAGGGACTGAACATTAGGGACTGTAGTGACAGGGGAAGTTTAGATTGGATATAAGGAGGAAATTCTTTCCTGTAAGGGCGGTGAGGTACTGGAATGGGTTGTCCAGGGATGTTGTGAATGCTCCATCCCTGGCAGTGTTCAAGGCCAAGTTGGACAGAGCCTTGGGTGACATGGCTTAGTGGGAAGTGTCCCTGCCCATGGCAGGGGGTTGGAAGTAGATGATCTTAAGGTCCTTTCCAACCTTAACTATTCTATGATTCTAAATACCAGGGGAAAAACTAAAGAGCTGGGTTCCAGCCCCTCTGACCTGGCCCTGTGACTGCTTCTTTGCTTTTCATGGACCCACAGGCTCCTCTGAGGACTGCCAGTGCCAATAGTGACTGTGCCTTCTGCCCTGAGCACCAAATGAAGGTAGCGAATTGCTAACTGAGCTGCTTTGAAACTATGTTTTGAGCACACAGTCTTTGTATTTCTGTTGTTGTGACCCATTTACCAGTGGACTGCAAGATCAGGGCAGAGTGCTTTAGTTGGCATGAACTTTGGGTGATTTTGAGGGATTTTCACTGGGATCAGTCGCTTGGTTCCCAGGTGGATTTGCACAGGACGCAGCAGCAGCTACTATGAAATCTAGGTCGTGCTTCTGCTGATTTCCTTTAACCAGACCTGCAGGTAACGTGTGCTGCCTTCCCTGTTGGGGCCTGGGCACTGGCTCCACAGAGGATCACCAGGTATGGCTGGGTGCACATTCACTGCGGGGTCCATCTCAGAATAAACAAACAGGAAGATCTTCCCAATGTTTTTGTCACCTGAGGGGGTGGCCCTGGGGGGGGGAGTGATCCTGAGGCTTAGTTTGCTTTATCCTTCAGCAAATCTGGACTCCATCCAGACCTGGCTAATCTAACATGAGACCTGCTCAGAGCACGATGCTAGAACCGCTCCCTCTTGTTGTCTCTGTTCTGTAAAGGGCAGGGTCTGGCAGCCTGAAATCCCTCAAGCACAGATCCTGAGGCAGTATCTCACTCGTTGCTGTGTTGCTGTAGCCATATCGCTGTGCTGTCAGCCACATTCCTCCAGCTTCTCAGTTAAAAACAAGGGAGCTTTTTCAGCTTCTTCCTCCAAAGCACAGCCTGGCAGCAGAGCTCGTGCAGGGGGATAACTTGGACTGTGCTTGAGACTTCATTGCTGAAGGGATTGGGAACCTGGGAGTCGGATGACTTCTGCAGGTGAAGAGTGATAGGTGTCTGTTAAACACCGTCTGTGACTAACAGCTGTTCTGATCAAATGCCATCTCTTGTGTCCTTACTTTTAATGTCAGGATTAGCTGGAAACTCGGGTAGGTAGATTATCCAGAACATGAAGGCAAAAATAGGGCTTTACGTGCATGAACTAAAAATCACCCTTACTTGACCATGGTTTTAAAGTTATTGCAGTTGGCAGGTAGAAGAATCTTGTTGCAACAAGCTCTGTTTAGTGGTGTATCCAACTGGGTGCAAATAGCACAAGTGCACTCTGTCTCTTACAGAGACTCTGTAGCTGGTTTCTGGGGCCTTGCCTACAGCACTGCAGGTGCCACAGTTTTGAAGCTGTTTGGTGTTCCAGTCTTGTTTTGTAAATAGCATCACTGTACCCAGGAATGGCTTCTTCCTTAGTGTGCACACATCAGTGTGCAGTGCTGCTTGATTACAGACATAAGGGACCAAGGTTGGAAAGGATGGGTCTGCAGATAGCATTATCCACTGAGATAGCTTTAACAACCTGGTAATCTGTTAAACGCTATTGAAGAGGGAGTGTGGTCAGATGTAAGTGATTGAGATATAAGTGATGGAAAACTGGTGTTCTCCATACCAGCAATTGTAAGGATTTGTCAAGCTCTTCTGTAGAAGATGGGCCCAACACAAAATCTTGCTATTTAATGAACACGGTAACCATCCAAATGGTGTCTTGTTGACCTTTTTTCCTAGTTGGTCTGACCTTATGTTTAGCCAGATTGAGTAGATCTCCTGTGGTTGTAAATATCTGAGTTAAATAAGTAAATTTATAAACCAAACATGTGAGCATGTCAGTAAAACTGCTGTGTACATCTAACTGTCCCTCTCTCTGTTCAAGTTGCAGGAGTTATTACGGCTGACTTTCTATCAGGACTGTTTCACTGGGGAGCAGATACGTGGGGATCCGTGGAGCTACCCGTAGTTGGAAAGGTTTGAGATTCTTATCCTTATGCTTGGAAACGTTATGAAATGCTTTTCTGAAACACTTCCAGTGTTCCCAGCTGCGTTGGGCTGTGTGTGTAAGCTGTAGCTTTCTTGCAGTCTTGCCAGTGTAACCAGCTCACCCACCCCAGAGCCCTCCTCCACTGAAAGGCATGGTGTATTGCTGGTGAAATGCCATGTTTATGCTTGGCCACAGTGACATGTGCAAGGTGACACTGCCCCATTTTATCACGTTGCTGAAGGTTTGCACAGTTTTGCAATCCCGGTGTTCCCAGACCTTCCCAAAGTACTGTGGGAATGGCCTGTGCCACAATGAGTGTGGAAACCCGGCTAGACTAGTGTAGATCTTCCAAAAGGCTGATAAATACAGAGAAATGAGGCTTGTTCCTGGAGCTAAACCCTCTAAAAGTCACCTTGTAAAACAGGAGGACACTCCAGTAAGAAACCTTTCCAGCTTCTGTGCTACTGGCCCCTGTTGTAAAGGTAATAGCATTACAATAGCGATGACTGAGGTTTTAGATTTGAGATGCATTTATAGCCCTGCAGCTACAAATGACAAGTGCTTAGTGGAAGGTGCACTGACTTCTGCAATAAGCAATAATCTTTCTTAAAGGTAAACTTTTTTATAGCTACCATTGATTACTCCTAACAGTGCAATATTAGTATAAAAGTATATGGGATATTCCTTGTAATTATCAAGAGATACATGAACTAGAACAGTGGAATTAAGACTGCTGGGTTCAGGCTTGTTCTTGTTTACCTTTAATAGACTTGGTAGTCCTTGGGTCCCTGTATCTCTGGGCCATAGTTCAAAGACAAAGACTGCAGGAGACTGCACTCCATAAACAAGAGTTCACCTTTGCATAGGCTGCACATGATGTGTGTGTTACAGGTAAATAAGTGCACTTGTTTTCCTGTCCCAGTCCTTCTGACCACATTTCCTCTGTCTTCTCTGGGACTGTGTATTCAGACGCAATTTCTGCTCCTAGAGGAGAGTTTTATATTTGACTATTTGACTTCTTTTGGTTTGTCTGGTCATTTGACTTGCCTTTAATGCTGTCCTTTTAGCCCACACAAATTATGAGGCTGAATTTACTTTCTTTTAGTGATCTGTTGGTTTATGCTGCTCAGAAAGTGACTTATATTTGTGAATGTCACAGGCTTATATGAAATTAGGATGTTAATGCTTTGGGTTTGAGATCTACAGACTAAAGGTCTTAAGTGAAAACTAAGAAGAATAAAACTGAAAAGCAAATAAAAACTGGATTTGTGTCTGGGAACTGAATTGCTTTGCAAATCAAATTATCTGGAGTGTTGTCATCACACGAGTTTGAATTCTGCATACATGCTCTGTAGTGGGAACTCAAACTGTCATAGATTTGAATGTATATGAGGATGGGGAGGTTTCAATAGTTTTCTTTCTAAGATCATTATTGAGCCATGGTTTCATGTTTGTCAATTTGTTTTTTCAGGCCTTCATCAGACCCTTTAGAGAACATCACATTGACCCCACAGCAATTACCAGACATGATTTTATAGAGACCAATGGGGACAACTGCTTTATGACACTGGTCCCGTTGGCAAACATGGCATACAAATTTGTTTCTTTTTCCCCAGGTAAGCTCTTACTTCTGACATGTATGCATTTAGCATTTGTGTTGGTATTTAAATGAGCATTTCTCTGTGTAAAGCTAGGAGAAATCAATGAATGCAAGAGGGCAAGTGATAGCTCTTGGAAGCAGGATGCTCCTGGGAGGAGAAAGGGAAACCTTCCTTTTCCTTGATGGTGGAGCAGCTAGAAGGTGGGGCAGGTAAATTTCTGGCTCAACAGACAGTCTGTGGCTGAAGTCTTGCAAGGAAGCATTAGAAGTTATAGTAAATATTATTTTTCTAAGAGGGATCAAACTGTGTGTATGGAGGAACTCACTGTTGTGAAGTGTATAAAAATGCTTCCTCTTTATAGAAACACTTGCAAACTGGAAGTGGGAGAATTAAAGAATTAGTGTAACTTTATAGATGGTGAACTCAGAGTTGAACTTCTTGTTTATGGCACATTGTCAAACGCTGGTGCTTACTAGCCTGTCTTGTGACATTCTGGAATCGCTTATGGCTCACTGGCTCTGATGATGCTTCTGTCAAAGCATCTTTATTGGGGCCTTTGTTAGTCCCTGCAGCACCAGGCATCTCTCTCTGGGCAAGATAGGATCTTCCTAGTAGAAATTTACCTTTTCATAAATGGTAAAGATACACATCTTTGTTTTGCAGAGGCACTATATGAAACGTGTCCTTGGGAGTGTTATGTCTTTGCACTCATCATCTTCATAACCATGACGAACCAGATTCACAAGTGGTCTCACACGTACTTTGGTCTTCCACGCTGGGTCATATTCCTACAGGACTGGCACATTATCCTGCCACGGAAGCATCACAGGATCCATCATGTGTCTCCACACGAGACATACTTCTGCATTACAACTGGTACTGCCACCTGGTTCATACCACACCCTCTCTTTAGTAGGCTAGTGCAACATACCTGGCAATATGTAATTTAGTGACAGCCTGTTAAATACCTGCAAAAGGACATGGTGAAGTTAATTGTGCTCTTAGCAAAACTATAGTTTTCTGTTGCATAAAATTGTGGGGGGAAGGTTTGTGATTGACTAAAAGGTAACTTTCAGCCTGACAGGGTAGTTAATGGTACTGAGATCCAATTGCATGGGACCTTGGTAATCTCATGCTAGTAATGGATTTTGTTCATTAAACTCTTAAAGTTGGTGTTCCCTCATCATCTGCAAGTGCAGCTTACCTTGAATGCTCATTTCTAAAGCAAGGCTTCAGGATTTTCAGTCTTCATTCATTCTAATTTGGGGCAGAGGAGCGTGAGAGCTTGCAAAAAACTGCCTTTAGGTTCCTCTTATATCTGTATTCGGTTTTATGTCCATTGTATGGGTGGGTATACTCAGTCACCAGTGTTGCACAGTCCTGAATCAAGTTAACTGGGGTGTTGGAAATAAACCACTTGGGTTCTTCATTCTGTCATTGGCTTTAACACAGTTTCTGATGGTTTTGAAATCTCTGCTAGGAAACAAATCTAATTCTCATGACCAGAATATCATGTAAAGACATGGTACAATTAAGAAGCATGACTTGACAGATGGCAAAAACCTTGCCACCTTAAGAGCTTTCTTCAGTCCTATTATGTCCTGAAAGTTTAAGCCTGGCCATTATCAGCAGTCTTAGGCTAGTTGCTTTCATTTCTCATTTAAAAGCCAAAAAGTGTGTGCTTCTGTTCACTCTGTGCTTTCTGTAAGTGTTCATACCATACTAGGCTGACATAGCACAGCATGCAGATTGTATGCTTCAATTTTCCATTAGAACAAAGTGTTTCTGCAGCCCCAATTCTCTTTCTTCTTGGATAGAAATGAGGAGGACGACAGAAATATGCAATCAATGCACTATTTAAAAGGGGCCTTTACCGAATGAAATATGACTGGTTACTGTAAGGCACTTGTTAGTGACTTGACTTGAGTAGATAGCCAAGTCCCAAGAGTATACTTGGTTTCACGGCTGACCTGTGTACATAAAGGTCTGCCACTGTATCATTGCCAGGGATGGGGTCAGATAACAGAGCTTTCTAGCATTCCCAATGTTAAAGCTTTCAGGCTGACTACCATTTTTAGACACCAGGAAGGAGTCATCCATTCCTTGAGGGTTACTGGCTGGGTTTAATGAGAATTGCATGGGCTGACTTCCTAAGGGGCATCAGTATACAGTGAGTTAGTGGAGCTGCAGGATCACAGGTGAGGTGGGAAAGGACATTTTCAACTACAGAAGGTGGCTGAAAATAGTTCGTGTTTTGGTAGCTGTAGCTGTCTCTGGTTAGGAATGATCTCGCTCTCTAGAAACACATTTTCAGCAGTGAATATCCTGAATATTCTGCCTTTAGTATTTCTGTCCCACAATAGCTATACACAGTCTCAGACATCACCAGCAAGAACAGTTCTTTTCCTGCTGCTGACAGAGCTGGTTGCAGCAGCTTTCCTGGGTTCCTGTCTTGCTTGCACTATCCTGCATTTCAGCTTTTCCCTCTAACATGAACTTCTAGCTCACTGTTTCCATTGTGGTAAGAGTACATGGAGTCAAGTATAACATATGCTTACAGAACAGTTCTGTAAGTGTGGGATAACTAATATAACCCTGTATACATCCATCTCTTCCTGGTTGTAGGAAAATCTCTTGCTTCATTCAACTTGATGGTTCTTTTCTGATAGGTTTGCAACAGCCATAGATTAGTCCACTGCCCTCTCCTTTACCTTGTTTAATTTAAAGAATGTTATTAAACAAGCATTGCAAGACATTGAACTTTGGATGCTATGGGAAACTAATCCTCTTTTTCCTTTGCAATCACTTAGGTTGGCTGAACTATCCATTAGAGAAGATAAGATTCTGGAGGTGTTTGGAGAACATTATCCAAGCAGTTACCGGGGAGAAGCCAAGAGCTGATGACATGAAATGGGCTCAGAAAATTAAGTAACTTTTGCCAGCCTTCTGCAATCCTTAACTTGTTGCCAATGTTTTTTTTTAATACAAAGCCATCAGCCAAATTCAAGACCTGCAAAGAAATAACAGACTCTAAAGCACAAACTAAAAAGTGCTAACAGACTGCAACAAAATGAACTAATTCTTAAAACAATACTTGAAATGGAGATGATTACTCTTACTGAGCACCTTTCTGTTTGGCCATGTCTGCTTACATCTTAGGAAGTACTTCATCACTGTGTCTCAAAAGGCTATCGGGCAAGCCAGAAGGCAGGACAGTCACTCCATTGGTACATGGTGGCGTAGTAAACATGTGTTGTATCAACATTATTTAACACTTCAAAAATAGCTTGTTGCCTAAGACCTGTAGGGAGAATGGTGACAGCAGTGTGTCACAGTGTGTTTGAGTCCAGGTACACTGCATGAAAACAGTGTGTGAGAATAATGGAAGCCTATAAAATAATCACTGTTCAATGCACTTAGTGATCGATAAGCCTACAGCTCTATTATGTTGAATTGGACTGATCTAATGTGGGCCAGACCTTGGGAATCTTGCTCCACCAGTGGGCCACAAATCCTCAAGTGTCTTCAGTTTCCCTTGAAGTTGTTCTACCCTCTATGTGGAACTGAGCTGTTTCTGCATAAGCCTTCAACTTACGAAGCCTCTGAGAAGAGGGAGGGCACCCAGTACGACACATGCTTGCGTTTGTTCATGCGGAGTGCTCGCTGATGGGTCTTCTGTTAAGTGTTCCCTACCCTGACAATAAATGTTTAAAATAGTTCTAGTATTGGGCACATTGCAAATAGCTGTATTCAAGAGCTCAAGGTATCAAATTGTAATGTTAGAAGGGAAATTGTCAATGACTGGTGTTTTGTTCTTTTTTTTTAAGGTGCTTGCTTGTTTCTGTAAATAATATAAAGCCTTAATCTCTTCTGGTGTAATGGAATAATATTTTAATGTGATGTTTGAATGTATATAATATATTTATAACAAAGCAGTTGGATAATACTAATCATGTTTGTTAAGTCTTGTTGCTGTTCTTCATTCATGCACTGTTGTCAGTACTTAGTCCAAGAACTTGATCGCTGGTTGCAAAATGCTTCATGCTATTCAGACCACCTAAAACACTTGGCATCCTCTTTAGGTTGAAGTGATCAATTGCTAGTCAACTCTCTAAGAGCTTGACACTATATTAGGCCAGACTTAAACATCTTTCAAGAAGTGCAATTAATTCTGCTTTGGATGCTAAGGAGTAACTGCTGGATTGGGATGGGCAAAGCTCCCCATAGAACATCCAACGAGTACTTGTTAATGCTATTTGGATCTTGTTGAATTCTTTCCTGAATGAAAACTTACAGATGGTCAAATCTAAGACTGCTTTGCCTTCCCTAGTTGTAAATTATGTTGAATACAAACTGTTCCTGAACAGCACAGTAAGGTGGTTTGGAGTCATAGGTTTAGACTAATCTTGATCTTGATGGACCACAGCTTCTGAAAGTGTTGGAACTTGGCAGCGCTCCTCCAGTGGGAACTGCTGGGTGTGGCCGTGTCTGAGCTGGGTTCTGCAGACCAAAATCAGAGTTGTACCTTGGTTGCAAAGTGTTTAATGTGCTTAAATGATTCAGGCCCTTAGAGTGGTTTGCATTGGAAGGGACCTTGAAGACCATCTAGTTCCAAACCCCTGGGAGAACTTTATACCATTACATGAAACTTGTCTGTTTCATTTGTCCCAGTTGACATCACATCTCTGCATAGCTTTGACAGTAAAGAACACTTCCACCAGAAGTGTTTATAGGAGTCTCAACATGACTTTAGTTGAAAGTGGAGGAAGAGGGAGAAATACTCCCTCAATACTGTTAATTATTGCCTGCTGCTTCCAGATCCTGGGCATTGAGGTGTTTCTGTGCCAAACCTGCAGGCAAAGTTGTTCCTAGTAATTTGATCTCTGCTTGTTTTAATTTCCAGGCACTGAGGGTTTAGTGTTATGTTAAAGAACTGATATGAATATAAATTTGGGTGGGGAGAAAGGTAACTTTCACTACTGTGGAAGTTAGCGTGGCAGTCATTACTATGAATCAGTGCAGTTAGTTCTGTTAATACTTGCTGTTTGTGACTGTAGCTTACTTTAAAAGTGGTGTGAGAATGCAAACTACAATGTGTCCAGAGCAAAGAATGCTTCTCCTTCCTCTCCTCCCCTTCCAGTGTAGGTGTCCTGCAGTTTAGATGTGTAGGAATGCTTAGGAAAGAATGTCTATTGCTGTGAGTACAAAGAACTGCAGTGGTTATTTCTGCCATCTCAACAGCAGTTAGATTCACCAGTGTTTCCATCTTGAGACTCCCATAATCCATATTCTAACAGATTTGTAGCCATCAGTTGTCTGTCCCTCCTGCCCACATCCCTTTCCTCACCTTTTCCTCAGCGCCAGTTTGAGGCAGGTAAACCGGTGTCAAAGCCCAGTACAGAGCTGGGTGGATGCTCAGGGCTCCTGTGTAAAAACAGCCTGAAGCTCTATGTTGTTTGAGAGCGCATCTGGTTGCAGACTGAAATGCCAGGTGAACAGCAGTGCTGCAGTAACCAGTGCATCTGAAGCACATGAATTATTAGATTTCCAAGAATCAGAATTCCACTTCAGCAGTGCAGTTAAAGGCAATTGCTGTTGCCCAGACCTCTCTCAGCCACTTGATCTGTGGTCTTCCTGGAAACAAATCTGAGCTGCTAATACTGGTGGTGGCTGGGACTATCAAACTGTTAATCTTAATTACGAGAAACTGGGGCAGCCGTTAATCTCTGGATGCTGTTTTCCACGCTGATGCTGTGCTCCACTCCTGAAGCAGCTCTTTCTCAGCGTGACCCAAGGTGACTGATGTGGCTGGACCCTCCCAGAGTCCTGTCTTCACATCACTGTTCATAAGGCAGCAGCCTGGGGCATGGCCCTGGGCAAGTTCTGGTTTTGTAATCCTTGATCTTTCCCTCCCTGCTGTGAGTCGAGGTGTATCACAAAGCTTCCTGCCCCTTGGAGGACTGAAGAACAAGCCAAGGTATTAATGAATACCTTGGTCTTCAAGCTGGCTTCTGGAAACTGTTCACCCCTTTTAAAGTAGTGGATGCTTCCACGAAATCAGTATGGCAATTCTGGAGCAAAAGGCTGTGTGGATCCCTCTTAACATATGTAAATCTGGCTAAAGATAAATTTGCCTTAAGTTAATTAGGAACGGATTAGAGCTAAAGCAGAATAAGAGACTCCTTTTAAACTCCACAGACATGGCCTGCATTACAGTGTAAATGCTTTTGAAAGTGGTTTTATTTCAGTCTCTCACCTCTGCAGAAGGATGTGGTCAGGCTCCTGCTCACAGGAGAAGTCCTGCCAGGCCTTCAGCTTCTCCCAAGTCTGTAGTTGCCTTCCAAGGAGCTGGCTACTTGTGGCCATGCAGGGGCCCAGCAGGATAGGTGTATTTCTCTAGGTGTACCGGTGGAACTGCAGAGCTGGCTGGGGACTCACCTGCATGGGGAAGCATTGCACTCTGTGGACAAATCACTGCAAGTCTTTAAAATCCTGCTCAGCCTTTTCTTAAAGCAGTGCTCAGGACAGCCGGATGGGTTTGGGTTTGCTGTTTGCTTTGAAGTCCCCATGGCCACAGTTCAAACTGCTCAGCTTCCAGGTGCCTCTTGGCTTCCAAATGTTGTTTCAGTTTGCTGCTGGAGCAAGTTATCAGTGTTCTCCCTCCTTGTCTGTAGCCTTGACCTGTCTGCTGCCCCCGTGCAGCACTGGGGACCAACAAGAAGTCCTGTGCAGAGGTAGCATTTGCTGAACAAAGGTGAGGCAGCCACCATGTGAGGAAAGGGGGAATCAAGCAAACCTGAGGACCACAGTGGAGATAGAAGTGTGTCTGGCGTGGGTTTGTCCCATTTAAAAAGGGGGATAAAAACAAGGTGAAGGACTTGTCCTGTGTCAACAGTCGTGCACCAAACAGGCATCAGACTTGCCTACGTAAGGTAGGACCAAGATGTTTGGCTCAGGTGCAATGTCTGTCCATCCGATATTATCCTGGAACTTGACTAGCAGCAGGCGTTAAGTGGAAGGGGAGCTGTGGTCGGTAGGGGTTAAACCAGTCACTCACCTTGCCCCCTAAGGCTACTGACACCCCTTTGGAGCGAGAAGGTCTCCATCTGCTTGACACCGAGCATCTCCATTGCAGCACGGCCTCTGCTGGGGCTGTTCGCCATGGCCCGGGCGGGTTTGCTGAGCTCGGGTGCCACCTCGCGGCTCTGTGCGTGCCTTCTGCTGCCGCGCTCAGCCCCGTCCGAGGTGGGGTGCTGGAACTTAACGGAACGAAACCCAGCCGGCAGCGGAAGCATGGCTGGGTTGAAGCAGCTTCAAAGAGTATCTGATCCAGCCAGTACCTTGCCTCTGACTGCTGCTACCAGCTGCGTGTGTTAAAGCTGGCCTAAATGAGCAAATGACCTCAAAGGTAAGGGGTCTGCAAAACATTTTGCTTTGTAATTGTTTTGATGTCTTGGGGCACAGTTTTCAGGTCAGGTGTTGCAAGACAAAGCAGAATTCATTCTTCTCCTCTTTGCTTTTTTCCATTTATTTCCCCGTCTTACTACTGTTTCAACCGGAGAAAGTGGAACATGTGCTGCTGGTTAAAACACAGCACTGTACCTCTTCCTGATGTTCCTAATGCCTCTTCTGGATTCATGCTGTCTATTTTAGGCCAAAAGGTGGTTTTCGTAGCTGTGTATGAGACACAAGGAGGCAGTGTGTGTGGTTGTGTCCATGTCTCCCATAGCACAAGGAGGCTCTTTGGGCGCCTGCATGTCTGCACTGCTGTGCTGTGCCCTGGATGTGCCCCCCGTGCAGCAGCCCTCACCACGGAGCCTAGGGCTGCGCTGGGGCAGCTGCAGTGGAGGTTGGTGCACGTCTGTCAGTGTTGGAGGGCAGCAAATTGAACTGCCTTGCTCCGGGTTCAAAGTGCTGAGCTGTGTCCTGCAGCCTCTCTTCGCTGAGCATCACAGGATGAGGTTCTGATGCAAACGCATGAACAGCATCAGAGTATTACAAAGCGGCTATGAATAGCTGAAAGCAGCTAATGCTGCTGTGCTCTGGCTGCAATGAGCATAGCTTGCCAATTACTCATATTAATTGCATTGAGTTTTACGGGCTGTTCAATGCTTGAGTGCTCTGGTGTTTCAGAGCTCCCCGAGGAGCTCGCTGGGGTTCCTTCCCCCAGGGTTTCCCGCTGGAGCGGGCAGAGGCACCCCCTACCGCCGGCCCCCCTTCAGACCCCAGGGAGCACACCCGCCCGCGCGGTGGAGCTCTGCAAGCTCCCTGCCTGTACCACAGAGCTCTCTATCCCCGCCCGCCGCGGCCTCCTCTTAGCGCGCCCGCCCGCGCCGCGCCTTCGGAGCAGCACTTCCCGCGTTGCGTTGACGTGTGGCAGGGGGCGGGGCTCCGGCGGCAGCGGCGCAAGATGGCGGCCACCACGGGTGCGGGTGAGCGGGCGGTTGGGCCGTAGGGCCGCGGGCTGGGGGGACCACCCGGGGCCGCTCTTCGCTGTGGGGCAGCCCCGGGCCGTGCTGGCAACGGCGCGGCAGGCTGCGGGCGGCCCGGCTGGACGTGTCGGGGCCGGAGGGGCGGCGGCGGCCCCTAGGCCGGGAGGCGCCCGGGGAAGGGGCGAGGGCGGCGGCGGCCGCGGGGGAAGGGGCGGTGGCGGAGGGGCCGGCCCGAGGGGCGCGGCCCGCAGGGGTTTGGTGCAAGGCCGCGGCCGTGGGACCGGTCCCCGCTCCTAACCCGCGGCGTTCGGGAGGGCCCGGCCGGCGCCTCCCCGGGGGCTGCAGAGGCCTCGCGGTGGGAGCGGCCCCGATGGGGCGAGTCCGGCCCGGGGCCGGGAGGGGCCTGTGGAGCCGGCTCGGCCCGGCGGGAAGCGTGCCCCGGCGCTCAGGGTGCCGGCTCCGGGAAGTGGCGCTGGGGCGGCGCGCTGGGCCCTGCGGCCGGGTCGAGACCCCCTTCCCGGGCCCGCAGCCCTCGGCCCGGCCCTGCGGTTCGGGCCTGGGCGCTGTGAGCCGCAGAGGGAGCCCGACGCGGCGGCTTGAGCCCGGGCTCGGTCCCGCAGGGCCGCCGGGCTGGCTCCTTTTCTGCGGGTGAGCTCCGTGTGCTCGGAGCTGGCCCCCGGTTCCCTATTCGCGGTGGTCGCTGAGCTGGTACTTAAGTTACGTGCGTGAAATCAGCGGCTGTAAAAACCTTATCCACTAATAACATCTTCCTGTTACATCAGAGGGATGGAACTTCCTTGTCAGGATGTGTGTGCTTCCAGAAGTCAATATATATCTTTTTGCCTTTAAAATTGTTTCTCACCCGCTTTGAATAGTTACACAAATGCTGTCTTTCCACTTAGCATCACACATTAAGCAGAAATACTGAAACTAGCTCTTGAGTGGGGAGTTCTTTGCTGACATCATTTAATGAACTTAGACCGAATAAATTAGTTTCACTTCTGTTTAGCCTGTTTCATTTTCATGTTTTCATAAGACCCGTATGGGGTTTTCAATGTGGCACTGTAATACTTGTGTTAAAATTGCTTCCTCTCAAGTTTGAAATCACCAGAAGATTTCTCTTGAAGATATAACAAAAATATCCTGCAGTTCTTTTTTAATAGATAGGTCTCTATTGATGACAAATCTCAACTTTTTAAGAATAACCATCGCAATGCAGATAACTTGTAGTAATGAAGATTATGCAGTGGATGCTGTGCTGAGAACTGTGCTTTACAGATCTGAATTTGAGCATAACCTGATGGTGAGGTGTTGGAACACTTGATTAAAATACACAACAAATGTAGTGGAGCCTTCTTCCCCCTCCTGTGTCACGTTGTTCTGGCTGCCATGCTTTCCCAATAATCCTCTCAAGCTGCTGACTTTTCAGTTTATGTTTGGCTGGAGGAACAACGCAAGTGTTCTATTTTTTAAGCCAGCGCAGCTTTGTGGATTAGTTGTTTGAGCAGTTATGGAGGGGTATGTGTGGAAAGGGGCTTGGACTGTGGTGGTGAAGCCCAAAGCTAGTCCTGTGCACGGCTTTTCTTTTGCAGCCAGTGGTCTTTGTGATAAGCTGCCTTTAACCATCATCTGCTAGCCACATGGTGTCTTTTGGATTGCTTCCTACTACTGCAGGGATTTCTGAAAGCTGTCTCTTCAGTGCTGGAAGTGTGAAGCAGTACACAGCCGGGTAGATGTGGGTAGGGGCATTGGTGTCTTGTGTCTGTGGTGTGGGCATTTGACAAGCGCTGCCGTTCAGCTACTCCTGAGATCCTGAGTGTTCAACTGCTGCTGAGGAGGTTCGGGTGGAGAATAAATCAGTTGTGACTTACAAACATGTTGCAGTGATTGAACTTTTGCAGTAAACCCCCAGTTCAGTCTGGGAGGACCTTCAGATACAGACCATCATCTTACACTGACTCTTAGAGCCTTGTCTGGCTGTAAATCATGGGCTGCCTTACCAGCAGTGGTCTGGGCTTTCTTCTTGTATTAGTAAATAATGGAGATTCTCCTGATAAAGAGAACAACATAGTGCCCAGTTACTGGTGGTGGTGGTGGCACTGCAATGCAGTTTGTACTGTTCCCTCTTGACACTGCACTGAAGGCATTGCCCAGCACATACAAATAGAGCCACCACATACAAATAACACCACCTTGTTCTCTACCACTGTTCACTTTGCTGTGGGCAAGTAGCTAAGTAGTGTTTTTACTCGGATGTAAAATAGATTTTGCTAATACTTGTTTCGTGGAACCTTAATTTATTCATAGTTGCTGATAATAACCACTCGAATATGTTTGATACCATGAGTTCAGCAAAGGAGCTTAAACAGAGGTTGAGGATGGAAAATGAGTCTGTGTTTAAAAGCAGCTACTTACTTAGGGGAAGAAATGGTAACAAATGTCTATGTAACTTAACAAAGTCATAGGGCTGGTGCTGGGAATCAGACAAGAAAGCCTGATATTTGTATCTAATAAACAGGTAGAAATAATTAACAGGAGAAAAAACAACTCTCACATCGAAGAAATGTTATGATGCAAGGTCCAGCAGTATCAGTTGCCCCCCAGCAGTGGGATGGGGAACAGAATCAGGAAGAAGGTAAAACCCATGTTTTGATGTAAGAACAGTTTAATAATTAAAATATTAAAACACTACTACTAACCACGATAATAATAATGAAAAGGGAAATAACACAGAGAAAGAAACAAAAACCCAGCCAACTAACAACAGTGAAGCACAGTACAGTTCCTCACACCTGCTGACCGGTGCCCAGCCTGACCCTGAGCAGTGATCAGCCCCTCCTGGCTAACTCCCCCCAGTTTATATACTGAGCATGCTGTTTGATTGTATGGAATACCCTTTTGGCTAGTTCAGGGCCTGGCTGTGCTCCCTCCATCTTCTTGTTTCCCTCCTCAGTGGCAGAGCATGAGACTGAAAGGTCCTTGATCTGGGTAAGTGCTATTTAGCAAGAACTAAAATATCAGTGTGTTACCAACATTATTCTCAGACTATAGCCAAAACACAGCACAGCTACTTGGAAGAAGATTAGCTATCCAGACAAAACTTCTACAGAGAGTTCTGCATTGCTAATGATGTGTGATTTTCACACATACAATTAATATATTGATAAAAAGAAAGGGTTGACTTTAATCATTCTAATAAGGGCCTTCATGGGAGACTACGAACACTCAAACTGTAAGTTTATGTCTATCCATCCTTCAGACTAAAGTGTCATGCAGAAGCACTCAGCTGGCTTGGGTACCAGAGGTGATCTACCTGAGAGATCCAGGACTCCTCAGAGGCTCATGCACCTCATGGCCCTGCAGGGAAGTTGAGCTGTGTGGAGTCTGTGTTGCAGTTAGACTACAGGAGCTTGTTCCACATTGCTGTCCTGCATACTCTGATATTATGGTGGGTCAAATCCTGACCATGCTTGCCTGTGAAGTTCTGTTTCTCTAACTTTCATCCTGGAAAAAGTTTAACGATTTCTTTCAACCCACTTTTCTCTCACAGGTCTGTTTAGGGGCTGTCTTGCAGGGCTGTGGTAGATACTGTGCTTACCAACAGGCTGGATGCATGAGCAGTAAAATGATATCCCCAGATATAAGTTAGGCAAAGTCAGAGGAATATGAAGAACTACAGAAGGGTGATTCATTAGGTGTACAGTCATGATAGTGCTAATACATGTATCTTAATACTCCAAACGGAGAGAAGAGCACAGCTCAGTTTTAGTACAGTGTATTAAAAGTATGCATTTATAGTTGTTGAGGGACCCATAACATTGCTGCGAACTCAAATCTGTGCTTGCAGAAAGCAAATGCAACATTACAGTGAGGAAGAAACTGCATATTGAAGGGTATGGAAGGTGTGCCTGCCTCTGCAAATGGACCGTGATGTCTCCTTTGGAGGGCACTGCACACAACAGTCACTGTTATCTCAAAATAAATATTGCCAGCCACTGAGTACTTTCTAAGTCTGTAAGTAAAATACTCAAGGGTAGGGAAAAAGTAATTGAAGAGAAAATAGGAAAATAAATTATGCGTTCTTAAATGAGATAAGACTGTAGAAGCACAGGAAATAGCAGGTGCTGAAGATTGAAAGCTTCTGAGTATTGTAATGGGAGGATGCAGAAGATTAAATAAAAAGGTAAATAGTTTAAGATTTAAAAGAAGACACTCAGTTGAATCTTAATATATAATGATATAAGTTACGTAACATATTTGAAAAACACTATTCTGGCTGAGAATTTAGAATGATTTGTTATTGTACTAAATATGTAAGTAGCTAAGAATCATAGAAGATATAATACTGGCAGATAAGGTGTGTGAAGGTTGGGATTGTCAGGTCGTGAGGATGTTTTTCAGCTATTGCAAGTCAAGCTGGAATTACTCTGTCTGCACCTACTGATGAGTTTGTGTGCTTTCCTCCCAGGTCTGACCTGGGCCTGGCCCAGAAGCAAAGCCCAGCAGTGTGCATCCTGCCTCTGCCCGCCTGTGCCTAGCTCTGCTGTTAAAACTGTACTGAGCAGGTAACACTGCTTTAGTCTGTCAGTGTGGCATCTTGCCCTTCAAAGCCTATCTCTGAATCAGTGAGCCTGCTCATGCACTCGCCTTTTGGTGGGTGGTGTGAGTGTAAGAAAACTTAGCAGTACTTTGTGATAGAAGAGGCAGCTGGAGGAGAGTGTTCTCAGTCAGTGACATCCGTTTCTTTTCACAATGCCAAGAGGAGATGGTGGAGTTTTCCCTCTTGAGATTTCATGTAAAGATTTTGTTCAGGATGTTAGTTCAAGGTGACTTATTTTCTGGAGTAACTTCTAGCTGAGCTGGTAATGTTCTGCTTTTCACCTGTGAATGCATCTGATTTTAACTCTTCTGCATCTGACAAGATGTATTTGGCTCCAGACCTCAGTGATGCTGCCAGTCTGCCTCAGACAAATGTTTTAACATGATCTCTTTCCAAGTAAAGTGCTTAAAAGTGTTGAAAGACGACCAGTTCTCTAGCTTACACAATAGAAAACACTTCAGTTTGTTTCAAGTGCTCAGGAAGCTATTTTGGATCTGCACAATAGCTCAGTGCCTGTCTGTGTTATCAGAGTGGAAATCATGACTGTAAAGATGATGCAAGAAATCTGAAGTTCCTGTCTCCTGAAAGTTTTTGTCACAGTTGCTAAAAGCCTTTTATGCAGTTTTAGATATTCTGTCAGTTCAGAAACTTTCTATACCACTGGATGAGGAATGATTTTCTTATTTCTTTACAGTGGCAGTGCTGCAAGGGTAAGCTGTCAAATTTTCAGTAGTTGCAGTCTCTGCAAAAAGATGAGGAATATATTGGAAAAGATGTAATTAAGGCACATTAATAATACACAAAAAACAGGCAATGGAAGGGGCTTTAATGTATGGAGCAACAGAGGTGTTAAAAGCTATTGGATTTCAGCTCACTTGAATTACTGTAAATTGGGAGCTAGTACAGAAGCAGCTAAAATTGGCCTGCAAGGGCATTTGGATAAGTTGTATATTACCAGTAAAGATGTCAAGAAATCTTCAGCAAAATGAGGGTTCCCCTCCTTAGAGCCTGTAACGAATGAAGTGCATTTTCTGTGTGCTTTGCTGGGCCATGTATTTGTCCTTTAATCCTAAAGAGAAATGCTTATAACTTGATTTCACTTTGGAAAGGAAAGAGAAATGTATTCCTGAAGTTTTTGAGGTGTATTTTTTTGTTCTACAGACATTGATGAAAACATTTCAAGTAGAGGATCTACACTCAGAGGCACGTTGTCCACCTTGCTTCACTGTGTTGTGTTCAGCTTGTTAAGGTTTCTGTGAATATGGGATTGCTTTTGCTATATAACTGGGGAAAATGGAAGATTAAAAAGTATAGTCTGTCAGTGAGTGTTGATTGTAACTTGTTAAAACCAAATTATATACTTCACATGGGTGTAGATTTAAGATGGGAAAAACCTCAGGCTGGTAAACTATCGTAAGACACATTCAGTTGTATATCTTTAGTAGTGCTGTGCTGTAAAGTAAATCTGAGTATGCTTTAAGGACTTTTAAGAATCCAAGTTGGCATTTAACTGTCTTCCAGGAATAATTCTGTTCTTTCCAAGTACAGAATTTTCCTCTCTGAGATTGACCAGACAGTCAAATTCCTCGTGTCCTCATTTCAGCTTGCTGTCTCAGCCTTGCAGCTCACTGCTTAATGAGCAACCGGGTTGTGAGGAGTTGTGGTAGCAGAGGCTTATCATTACTGGTCTTACCTGGCAACTCTGGTATTAGGTGAAAACAGAAGGTCCTGATTCTGTTTGAAGGCTGAAGAGGATGTCATCCAAAACCTAAGAGCTTCTTAAGTGCAACTTTGAACTCCTTAAGGTACACATCCTCACTTTCTGGGAAACCCAGTGTGTGGTTTAGTTTTGTTCTCTGGTTTTCCATATAAACAGTTAATGAACTTTTTGTAGCTGGTGAACTAGTGTGCAGGGTTGAGGCTTCACAAATGTACCTTTACTAAAAGGTGAGCTTTCAGAAAGACTGCACAAACCTGTGTCATTGGAGGTCTTACCTTGTCAGTACAGTTATCATTTAACTTTCATAGGTTTGCTGTTGCAATTAATAATAAACACTTCCTTTGGCTTGGAAATGATTTTTCAGTTCCATTTCTGTGAGTGTTTGTGGTCAGGCAAGCTGCAAGTGAAGCAGTTTTCTAGATATTACTGTGTTTTTGTTTCAAAGGAAACTGCTATTTGAGAGTCTTCTTGAGCCGTAGCAAAGGCTAAATTAAAATGCATAACAGTGTACTTTCAACAAACCGATTACTTTTTAATTGCCTCTTACTTTATTTAGGTTTTCTTGTGTTAAATGAAGGACTCTTAGAAAAACAGGTTGGTTTGGTTACTGCCTTGAAAGTCTCCATTGCTACACTGGAAAGATTATGCAAGGTATTTACTGGAGGGTGGGAAGATGACACGTAGTTGACTCACGGTTGTGTCAGCTGGTGCAGGACATCTCCCAACTCTGAATCTGCCATGGTTTAACCATGGAAAGCATTTACCAAGTAATGTGTGTGCCTAGAACAGGTCACTTTCTAGGAATCTTGGTGGAGAGCGAACATCAATGATGATACATTTGCATGCAACCACAAGTGATAAAGCTTGTGTGGTTTCTGGGGTTGGGGTCCCAGTGGGATGTGGTAGCTGACCATGAGTGCTGCAGGCCATTGCAAGTGAAGAGGACATGGGGTTGGCTTAATGGCTTCATGCATCTTTCCAGGGTGATGGATGAGTGAATCTGGTCTTTTACTCTGCTTTCCTTAAGGGCAGGTTATTTGGAAATAATTTAAAGCATTTGTGATTTTATGGCCATAGTCTTTTACATGTAGATTTGTTTTTTTTTTTCCTCTTGAATCTCCTGAGAAAGCGTCAGGGAGGGGCTGTCATTGATTTGGCTCTGAACTTGCCTTCTATAGTGGCTGAGGTGCTTCTTTTCTGTTGCACCTCTGAGCTTTAGCATAGGGATAAAACATTTTAGAAGGCAGTGATGCTGTTGGACAGGGTGGTGTGTTGTAAAGTGACCAGTCATCTCCCATGATAATTTTATTTTCTGTGAAGTGCATATCTTTTATATTACATACTTCTCTTTTGGCACCTCGTTTTGCCACTCATGCTCCTGTAGTGCTCACAAGTGAGCAGTTACTGTGAAAGTAGGATTAATTTATGTTAACTTTTCCAATGTGATAGGAGTCAGTGCACGATATGACTAGCCAGCTCTCTATAGACCTCAGACTTGTCAGAACTCTACCATCCTGTTTGACTCTTGTGGCTCTGATTCATGCTGAATCAGAGCAGCTGGATCTGGGGAGGACTCAGAAATGAAGTGGCCTTCTCTTCCTGTAAGGTTGTAAAGCCAAGCTGAGCTCTGGTTAGCAAATGTCACAATTAAAGCTGCCTTTCAACCCTGCTTGTGGCCTTCTCAAATATATACATGATGATGTCATTGGTAATTACATGATCATTTAATTTTCTTCACATGGGATTCCTGCCTCACTCTGAACAGGGTACGTGATGCTCAGAGGGAGGGTGGACAGGCAATGGTTTTTTTGCTTCCTTTAATGTGTGGCCTGTGTGTGCTTACCATAAAGCTGATTCCTCCTGGGTTATTTGCTTTGGTCTAAGTAAATATCAGTAAATTATCTTTGAGCCACTGGTAAATATGGAGTGGTATTATCAAGTGCTGAAGCACAGAGACTGAGAGGATGTTTGTTAAGCATCACGATGTTGTGGTCCACAGTGAGCATTTTTTGGCAACATGGCACATTCAAGGCAGGTCTTTTGCTGGCTTCAGCTTATTGCATCTGTGAGTGGGGAGAGGCTCAGGTTGGGTTTCTAATAATAACCACAACAGTTTCCTTTGCTGCATCACCTGCGTTGTTGAAGAGCTCTGTGTCAGACCCAAGGGTGGAGTTCACCCTCCAAAAGGACCTTTTGTTTCTTCATTGTCCTCCTTCGCTGGCTGTTTCTTTCCCTAGGCGCCAGCAGGCAGGGCTGAAACCCAGACAGCAGCTCCAGGCATCGCAGCAGTGAGTCATTCCCCATCACCAGTGCTCCCATGCATCCACTGCTGCAGTAGTGAAATAGGTTGTGTGTGTAAGTAAAGGTGGAACCTTGTCCTTCAACTCACACTCCAGCTGTTTCTGTTGGAGGTAGACTGCCCTCTTCTCCGTTTCCTCTACCTACAGCATGGAGAGTTTTGGCAATGTAGTTAAAACTGGGGTGGCTAATCATGATTCAGGTATGAGCTGCATACTTGAGTCTTCATGTGCCTGAGATACACAAAGTACACACTGCATACTTTTAAGACTTGCTGAGAGGGGAGATGCTGGAGCTTTTTAAGCAGGGGAAGCAGAAGTGATTCCCAAGAGGTCATCTTACCACTGATGGTTTGGGGCTTGGTTAATCCTATGGGGATGGCTTCACCAGCCCCAACTGACTCATTTCCTTTTGCAGCCAAAGATTGGTATTACTCAGCAGCCATGGTAACAATGCTATGTCGCTGAGAGTTGAGGATGCAAATCTGGCATGGAGTTGTGTTTGAGTCGTGCTCTGCAGCCCCCACGTGTGTGGTTTGGTATAGCCAGTGCAGGTCTGGCCTCTTCTGGTGCCGCTATTCGGACTCCAGGTTTCTCTTCATACAGCTGTGTTACTGAAGCATGCTTCCTCGGGATATTCTTGAACATGTTATGTTAGATGCGTTTATCAAAATGGCCAACTTCCATTGGGTGCAGTCATTCAGGAACAGACTGCTCCAGCATGGATCCCCAGCGGGGTCACCAGTCCTGCAGCAAGCCTGATCCAGTCTGGGTTCCTCTCTCCACAGGGCCACAGCTCCTGCCCAGAGCCTGCTCCAGCACGGGCTTCCCATGAGGTCACAGCCTCTTTGGGCATCCCTCTGCTCCCATGCTGTAGGTGTAGATCTGCTCCACCATGGACCTCTATGGGCTGCAGGAGCACTCGCCATGCCCTGCACCACAGGCTGCAGGGGAACCTGCTCTGGCACCTGGAACATCTCCTCCCTCCTTCACTGACCTTGAAGTCTGCAGACTTGTTTCTCTCACATAACTCTCACTCCTCTCTGCTGCTGGTGTTACACAAGGTTGTTTTTTTTATCCCTTCTGAGGATACAGAGGTGGCTTTCTTCTCACAGAAGCTGCCCCTGTAGTACCCCCTGCCACCAAAACCTTGCCCCACAAACCCAATACAAAGGAGAAGTGGTGGCCTAGGCTGCATTTATGTTTTGTGATGACTGAGCTACAGATACCTTGAAGAAAAATGAGTAATTAAGTCCCCTCTGGCCTGGGTTCAAGATCCTTTCTTGCTGCAGACTTATTTGTGAGCTTGGATATGTCACATAAGCTCTCTATGCCATTGTTTTCCATTAATGTGATAGGAATAAGAACATTTCCTGTTCTGCTGTGTGTTTTGAGGATAAATGTGCCAACATCTAAGAAGTGCAGAAATTCCTTGGTGGTGGAGGTCATGAATACAAAGAAATGCTGTTGCTGCTGACGAAGCCCACTTAACTTCAGATTAACTACTATTTGGAGGTTTATTTGCCTTGAATGGTATTTTAAAAGCTCTGAGTAAGTTGAGTGCTGTTGAGCCTCTCATTTTGCAGAATCTCCTAAGTTTTGGTGCTATAAATCATACAGACAAGTGCTAATTAGAGCTCTGTGATACTGTGTGTGTATCTCTGAATGGACAGACATTTCCTGTCATTTTACTGCCTGCCCGAGTACCTGGCCTGTCATCCTTCTAACGTGTTTAGTTGTGAATACCTGATTTTGCTTGTAAAATCCAAGCTAAGTATGAGGATACCCTTTTCATAGTGTTGAAACGTTGTCATTGAAAAACAGGTGCTGTTTTTATGGATTTACCCAAAATGTTTGCTGCAGAATGACCAAAAGTATCAGGGCAGTTACTTTGGGTTCATTTCTTTACTGGATTTCTCAATTCAAAATATTTTTCTGGTGTTTTTCAGGAGTAAAAGTTCCTCGTAATTTTCGTCTGTTGGAAGAGCTTGAAGAAGGTCAGAAAGGAGTAGGTGATGGAACAGTTAGCTGGGGCCTTGAAGATGACGAAGACATGACACTTACAAGATGGACAGGAATGATTATTGGACCTCCAAGAGTAAGTTATGTGCTTAACTATTAAAATAGTACTGTTACTCTTATTTCTCTTCTCCCTTTTCTTCCCTTAATCTAACTACTGAAGTAGGAAACAAAGGAAACACAGATGAGTGGAAAAAAAACCACTTTAGCAAGTGATTTATGTTGAAGGTTCAAGTTCCATATAATAATGGGGTTCATGTATCTGTGTGTCTTTTGCTTTTAATTTGGAATATTTTTAGTGCCTTTCTCTGGTTAGTTCTGTTACATGTCTGCTTTATATTTACAGATTCATTAAGACATAACTTTTGAGATTCCAGGATTCTAGTATCCTGTACTC